ATATAATTATATTATAATAATTTCAGTAGAACAATAAAAACTTTTTTTGACTTTCTGATTAAATAAACAAAGGGACATATATTGCTATTCAGGCAAAACTCCTACTGTTTTATGAGCATAGTAAAATGATCTACCATAAAAACAAACCTGTATCTGACGTTATATCTAACTTCTGAACAAATGGTCCCACTTCATTAAGATCTTCAGTCACATGAGGTACAGAATAATTCCCACGTTTAAGTTCCTTCTTATTGAAATATTTTGACTTTGCAGGCATCCTGGTAATTAACAACAGAAATAATATAAGTATCTTAGTTTAAGTGTGCTGTTTGTCTCAGACTGCAGGCTAGCGCATAGTTGTAAAATAAAAGCTACTGTGATATAATCAAACTTCATCTCAATTTTCTGTCTGAATTTCACTTAAACCAAGACTAATACTATTTTTTGCTATAGTTCTTATGTTTTACTGAAATTAATCAGGTCTTTCGGATGGGCTGTTTCCAGAAAAATGTAAACAACACATATCATCTACCAGAAACGAAAGGCACAAACTGCACTTTAACTTCAAAATCATCTGGTTAAGATGACATTTATTGCCCTCAGAGAACTTCCTTTATGAAAAAGCCCAAAAAAACAATTCTTGTCAGAGAAGATACACAATAATGTCTCAGAATACTAGTACCAAAGATTTTTTTGTTTCTTTAGTGCAGCAGATGAAGGGAAATGTCACAAAGGACATTTCCATCTTCAGAACTGTGTAGGATATTAATAAAATATTTACTGCCTTTCCACCTACTTTTCTGCACACATATGACCATAGCTAGATTACAGATCCAGGTTAAAATAAAATAACACTGTGAACTCTCATTTCAACATGAAGAAAATTACACTAAAGAGTGAAAGTTTTAGGAATCCTCTGAGAAAATCATGATAGCCATTACACCAGAAATTCACATTCCATTTCCACATCACTAAGTTTACAACCATGTACAATTCACTTTTAAACGCAACAGCCACATTGTTTTCTAGCTAGAGGTACGTCTCCTGGTGGAAAACATTTAATCTGCTTCATACAGCTATAAACAACATACATGAATTTGACTTTGCACTTAAACATGTATGTAACACGTAATAACAGCAGAACTCTTCATACTGACATGCTGCTTAGCTGAGGAATTATGACCAATTACAGTTCTTAGGTTAAAAAACTGTAAGTTACCCAAAACCAGTTTCACAAAGATCATCATAGGCTTGTACTCTCTGGACATCAACAGGAGGACTGGACAGTATGGAAGAGCCTTCATCCATACTACTTTCTTTCCCTGTCCTAGACTGTGCTTCTGATGGAGATGCAAATTCTTTTAGATTTGGATTATCCGGACTCTATTAATAATGACAAATAAAATTCACTAGTTAAAAACAACCAAGCAACCAATCAAACAAAAAAATCAATTAACAATTTCATATAGTACGTTTATGCTTAACTTCACACCCTTTTCTCTATTATGGAGCTGAGAAATTCTGGATTTACAGTTGCCACAGAATCTAAGTTTCACCCTTTTTTGCATTAAGTGAAGCAATAGTCCTCTGAATTATTCGAAAGAAACGTAAAATTAGAGAGATCTGTCATCGTCAATTGAGCATGAGTTGTCAAAGACACTATGTGATAATATTCTCTGTACAAAGATATATCATTTAGCTTTCATCAGATGCAATACAAAACTCTAAAATTATAATTGAAGACAGTATAAGTAACAAAAACCTATGTATCATGCAGTTTCAATGCACACACAAAATTTCAGCATAAAGTTCTAAGTAAGATACAGGTGGCACTTGTCAGAAAAACAGAAAATACACCCCAAAACAAGACAAAAATCCCTCTTATCTGGGAGAAAAACCTCCTCAAAAAAACCCCCACAACCCTCTCCCCTCAAAGACTTCAATGTAAACTTAATTAGAGAGGATCTATGATCCAAGTGTCTTTAAATACAAAGCCACTCTCATCAGGTTCTTCGTAGAATCATACACTAGTTAGGTTTGGAAAGGACCTTAAGATCATCTAGTTCCAACCCCCCTGCCATGACCAGGGACACCTCGCACTAAATCATGCCACTCAAGACTAAATCCAACCTGGCCTTGAAAGCTGCCAGGGATGGAGGATTCACAACTTCCTTGGGCAACCCATTCCAGTGCCTCACCACCCTCACTGTAAAGAACTTCTTCCTTATGTCTAACCTGAACTTCCGGTTTAAGTTTAAAGCCATTACCCCTTGTCCTACCACTACAGTCCCTAATGAAGAGTTCCTCCCCAGCATCCTTGCAGGGCCCTTCAGATACTGGAAGGCTGCTACAAGGTCTCCACGCAGCTTCTCTTCTCCAGGCTGAACAGCCCCAACTTTCTCAGCCTGTCTTCATAAGGGAGGTGCTCCAGCCCCCTTATCATCCTCGTGGCCTCCTCTGGACTTGCTCCAACAGCTCCATGTCCTTTTTATGCTGAGGACACCAGAACTGTACACAATACTCCAAGTGAGGTCTCATGAGAGCAGAGGGGCAGGACCACCTCCTTCTGGCAGATCTTTTATATTAACACACATAGTCCAACTCTGTGCAACACTGTATCTAGCAAATTCAAAATTCACTTTTTGCCAATATGACTAGTTTAAATATTCAAGTCAGACTCTACGTTCACTGTCCTCAAAGAAAAGTGAATCTAAACTCAAGTCACCCCAGAGAAACTAATTCTTTATTCTTTGTCTTGTTTTTCCACTCTTCCATCTCCAGTATTATGGGGTTTTTTTCAAAGATTACATCTAAAATTAGACATAAAGGCCAAACTTCCAGGAATTTGCTCAAATAATGTGATATCTAGAGAAATTAGTTAGCTTTTGAACAGAACTTCCAAAAAGACTTTCATCTCCAACTGAAGTCTTCCTACGTCCAGAATTCCAATATTCCTGGAATGTTACTCTTTTCATAGCAATGCTTAAAGGAAAGGCTATTAATCAATACTGCAGGTTTTACTGAGAACAGAACTATAAGGTAAAAGATATGTGTAATTTTCTTTACTGACATAAATAACTCACCATTTCATTGACACCCTTATCCTCTTTCTTACCTTAAACTTAATGCTCTTTTTTTGAGATCCATCTCCATATAACCATTCTAACAGCCACAAAGAAGTAAGGACAGCAGCCGATGATGTTTTCACATGTATCATTGGGAGAACCTCTTCAAAGGAATCTTGTTTACTGGAACCGCAGAGCAGTCTTTTATCAGACCATCTGATCATCCACTCAAGCAATTTCGCAATATTGCTCAACTTACACATCAGTTCTACAGGTAGTTGTTCTCCTGGTAGAATATCAACCATATCAACAGTTTTGTAAATGTATTTAGAAGTTGCCTGAGTTTGCAGGCTTGAGAAAGTATGGTTAGGAAATGTCTGGCTTGCTGATACAACAGTGACTTCTTGATTGTCACTCTGAGCTCTGTAAATGGACTTATGTTTTAAACCAAACAACCCGTCATTAAATCCTTTCACTAGGTTACACACAGAGGGTTCTGTTGTCTGTAGAGTGGACCGTACAATGGCTGGATTTTCCAAATTATTTTGGTTTTCATTACAGACAGATACGGTTTCAGGATTGCAAGATGCCAGGGTGACAGTATAGCAAGACCCTGCTCTAAACACACTTTGGCTCCTAGTTTTGCTTTGTCGACGTTTTAGTGTTGTATGAACATCAAAACAGAGAGAGTTTAACTCATGCTCTTGAAGAAGTCCAGAAAAGCTAGTAAGAAATGGAATTCCAAGGTCACTGTAGTTCATGAGGTCTCTCTCAAGAATGTAACTCAAAAAGAGTTCTAAAAAAATTACATATTCATCGTCATCACGTTCAAATTCCCATGTACCAACTACAGGTATATTACATTGATTATGCATATCTTCTCCACACACTTTGTCTTTAGGCTTTGCTTTCCAGTTAAAAGCTTTTATTTTGCACGTGGTACTTTTACTACCTATTTCTTCTTGTCTCGGATGTTCACTATCCCTGTAAACAACAAACATAAGTACTGTTAACGTTAAAACCCATTGTCAGAAAAATTACATGAAATAATATGTAAACACAATATTAGCTCTTTTTCTTTCCACTGCTAAAAATGAGAACAACCCCAAATTTACATTAAAAGTTTAGGCATTAATACATTAATAATTAAGGAGGCAAATTAATCAAATTCAAAATCCACAGTTTTTACATACATAGTAACTCAGTAGTACCTATCATATATGCACATGGTCATAGCTGATAATATTACACTTCAATAACCTATTAGTCACAGAGTAACTGATACAAAACTGTCATTTCTAGGATTTGATAAATTTGTAATTCTTTATTTGATAAATTACACAATGTGACAATTACTCAATTCAGTGAAAAGATTACTTGAACAGGAAGAGACAACTTCCCCCCTCCCCCCTTTTTTTTTAGTTTAGATAGGAAGCTTTCTGCTGCAATTCTTTTCATACCTTTGGAGTGAAGGTGTTTGAGCTCTCATTTCTTCAGCAAACAAAGCATCAGAAAGTGTATCTGTTGTGTCAGCATCACTATATACCTGAGGATGTCCAAGATCAGTAAGTGTGCTTCTGCTTAGACTAGTGCCTAATGAGAATCTGTCATAACAGTGTTCGTCATTTGCTGCTCCCTCTTCCACCGGCTCCCAAATATTAATTTCTATGGGGCCTATGTTCTTTATTACATGTCTCAAGGACTTCATTCTCACTTTTTCAGTAGACTGTATAACAGCAGACATAATTTCTTCACTTTCAGAACCTACCAAAAGAAAAAAACCCAGCTGATTCTAAATGAAAGCTTCCATTTCTCAATTATTCTCTCCAGTTGAGACATGAATGAACTTCAAATCGTCATAGATCATAGCCACATACAAATACAGACAGAAACTGATAAAGTGAAAAAGCATCACCAACTTGGAAGTCACAATATTCTGCTATTGGTACAGACAGATCAGAAAGAACATATGGAATCTGCCACAGAACTCTCTTGAAGTTATCTAACTGAAAACTATAACTGTTTTACATGGGGTATGACAGAAGGTAATGTCACAAGTTAATTAATAATTGGGGTAAAAAAAGGAAAGTTTGTTTAATATTTTGTGAAGCAGGATGCACGCTACCTTTAACAACACTGTGTCTGAGTCGCTCCTGAAGTCCACGATATTTATCTCTTAGTGGAACTCTTATATCTTCAGGATTGGGAAAAGCTTTTACAAAAATCTCTGCCACCTGCACAAAACAGTCTCTTTTAAAGTAGCTAAAACACAAATAAGGTGTCATTTCGAACAGAATTTATACCATTAGGAAGTCTAACTACTAGATTTTACAAGGAGTTTGTGATAATCTCTGTTGCTTTTATTCTAGCTTTAATATCTTTTACCTTTTTCACTGGTGGCAATTCTCCAAGCAGACTCAAAATTACATCTTGAACTAATTCTTCAACGTTCATGAACCTGCAGAAAGGAAGCATTCGACAAGCCCACTCCACTGTATTCAGACAATGCTCAACTGTGGAGGCATCATATTCATTCTTCTTCAGATCCTAAAAAAAACACCTTGCTATAGAAACATTAATTGATACGAACAACATATTTCAGCTACATTATTCATACACTGCAAATAGTAATGATTCCTTCCTAGCCAATGGGAGATAAAAATCTCTAGCTTAACTGCCAAACAGAGAAGAATGTGATGCTAGGAGACAGACCAAGTTTGTTACAGATCTTAAGTTATATATTAAGAAAAGAGCAAGCTTTTGTAAACCAGTTTAGGAAATAATTCCATTAACACTCTGCGACAGAGTCTGTTTGCAATCATTTAGATTAAAACTTGAGGATTTGACTAACCCAGTGATAAGTAAATATTTTTACCGTGCTTTAAGGTGATCATAAATTCGTTTTAAAGATGGATCAGTTTATTTTGAAACAGTTAGTGGTTTCTATCTCATTTGTCACTGTCTCACACAGGATAGAAAAATCAGAATATGCTACTATTTGAAATAGAGCCTTCCTGTTTCTTTGAAGCTTGTTTTTCTAGTTAAGTGTTGGATTTGTTTTAAAAAGAAGCAACCTTGGCTAAAGATAGCTGAGTTGCTAAGCCGGATTCCGTACTGTTACAGAATATATGACAAATATCATGCTAGTAGTTTCTTTTTTTATTTCCTTGATCACTGAAATCAACTGACGAGGGTATAAGTAGAGAAAACATTATTAAATTTTAACATTTTTATTATCCTTTTAAAAAACATGTATATTTAACACACCAAATGGATACGTATTTAACATTTTTGATGTGTCAAATACACATCCATCAGGTAATACCCAAATTATTTTAACCTAATTAGAAAAAAAAAAGTAAACTTAGGTAGACAACAAGTGTAGAAACTATAGCTCTTCTGGTAGTATCTCTTCAATCATGAGTTAAATACCAAGCCAAAGCCTGAAAGAAGTACTATTAGAAAGATGTCATTCACATGGACAGCACTGTTCTGTAGCATTAAATACTGCACACTGCAGCACTGTGCTAATTTTGTCCTACTAGGCAAATGAAAGTTCTCACAGAAATATACAGCAGATCTTTAGAATTCTTTATATTAAACTTTAATATACTAGTAATGTAATTACCTTATGATTGTTACGATTTTCCCTTGCAATTTGGTACCGCCTACAGTTGTCAGATAATCTTTCACGAACATGAAACATCCAGCACAATGCACACAGCTCTCTGAACCAACCTACGACACAAACATGCAATATGGTGAGATTCTATGTAAATGAATTAAATAAAACAGCTTGAGATTTTTATCTAGAAGTAACTGACATTATCTTAGTAGTTCAAGAAAAAAATTACTCGTTCTTGAGTATTTAGTAATGCTCTCCAGCTACAGTTCCTTAGTTCCACTTACTGTTCATTTTCTTTCACATCTGTCAGACCTATAACACACAAAACAATCCATAACAGTAACTTTCAGATTAAAAGTTTTGATAACTAACATAAAAGCTGGAAACAGAACATGTTTCTGTACGCATTGCAGTATGCTATTCTGAGCTCATAAGAGTTTTTTGTGCCCACAAATTCTCATTCTTGTGCTTTTTTTTCCAGTTCTAAATTATTCTATTTTGTTGCATGCAGACCTAAAATTTTGCAGGTAGTATCATCAAACTGATGGTCTCCAGAAGTTGTCGTTCTACAGAAAACAGTGCGGAAATTGGAGTAACGAAGCAAAGTCTCTGGGAATGGACTCAGTGAAGGAAGAGATCCTTTCATTCGAATCTAGACATAGCATAAATAATAAATAAATAATCAAAATAGAAATAAAAATAAGTTAAGATTTTGTGTATCACTATTAAACAGGCAGCCTCTCAGTTATTAGCAGAACACTGCCAAGATCAGTAAAATTCCCTTGACCTTGCTTTCAATTTTCTTCAAATCAGTATTCTAAAAATTCATCTTAAGGAATATTTGTAGTATGACCTATGGCACGAAAAATACTTTTGTTTGCATGGTACTCATGATGCTCATGATTACCATGAAATACAAGAGCAAAAAAAAATGTAAGAATAACTGAGATCATGATTATGGAAACAAGTTTAATCCAACAGTCCAGGCTGCTGTCAACCAAAGCAGACTTATTTTCCCTCTCGTTTCAGCTGGTACTTCCGATCGCCTCTTCGTGCCAGCATTAAGCATGTGACCATGCAATGAGCAAAGAGAAGGAAATATTTGTCAGTCTGACCAGTTCCTGATCTGTATCACTACATGAACACTGGTGCAGGGGAGCTGAAGGCAGGCAGACAGTCACACACACTCCCTTCTGTAGCAAGCCAACATTCTTTTAAGTGGCTGTGTAACAACGAACTAAGAAAAGCCTGAGTTTACACAAAATTTAAATTCTAATCAATATATTCCAAGTTTGGTTCTGTGCAAACAAAACACGAGTAGAATGAGATCTCACAATCCCATGCTCTGTGCACAAGGATGACCACTTGACCTGCTGAATTGAGTATCACCTTCTCTGTTACATATTCCACCCTAAGTGAACTCTGGTTTCGCAAAAGAACTGAACAGGGACTGTAAAACTAGAAGACTACATGTGACAAACACAACATCAAAGTCCAGATGAAACCGAATGCTTCTCTGATGCAATTGCAAGCTTGTCGGTAATACTTATGACTGGTAATCATGCTACAAAAAATCAGGTTAAATGCTTACTTTTTGCATAATTTTTCTTGCCCACTTCAGTTTTGTGATATACCATTGTGCTGCAGGGCAGGAACAATGAGCAGCCCGGAAGAGCAAGATTATTCGCTGAAGAATTCCTGACACTTTCTGACGACTTTGTCTCTCAATTTTTAGAAGAATGTCATTGCAGTCTTCCTGAAAAATGCAAATTCCAAGACAAAAACAAGACCCAAAATTAGAAAGGACATATACATTAAGAATCTAACCTAAAGGTTGTGTCTAGTCCCAGAGTATTTCCATCCCTCTTTATAAATCCTTTATGGAAAAAACACAGAGTCACTAACGTTCTGCTTAAGTAAATGCATACTCATGGAAAAAACAGATGAAAACTGAGCTGAAAGGAACCAGAATAAAGATCACGATTATTTCATAAATACATTCAGAACCCAGGAAGACCCAAGAAACTTCCGTCACGCATGCTTACTTCACTGAGAGAAGCTGGCTGAGGACAGTATAATGGTGGTGCTGGAAGATAAAGCCCATCTGGAACTAAACCATACAATTTTCTGCTAAGGTCCTTGGCAGAATCCATCAAAAGCTGAAATGTCTCTGAAAGAATATCAGTATCTGCCATAACAGCTGCTTTAAGTAGTTCCTGTATGGAACTATAAAGAACATCCGCATCTTCCTCTTCAAGGGGATCTATAAAATATTAAGCACAGAAACCAGTAAGTTAATTGTCTCAATACATGGCCTTCATTCTGAAATTACAAAGCTACAGTCTCAGAATTTGCATTCACCGATTACAATGTATACATCACATCTATTTGCTTTAAGATAAGATCTCTCATATTTCAAAATAGTATTATTAATTTTTGCTTTTGCCATGTTAGGGGAAAGATACTACCTTTCTAGATAGCGGACTTAACTTTTCAGCCATGTATTTGCTTCGCATAAAATTCTGGCAAATCTTTCTCACCAAGCAGGCATAAACCAGGTACGCTATTTACGATTAATAAAACCAACTCTTCTACCAGTGAGCATGATTATCAGGGAAAAGGCAATGTATTTGTTTGATCTCTTTTAAGTATTACTATATTTTTTCCTCATCTCCTAGAAGGACCCTGAAATTATTCATTAATTGGACCCTGAAATTCATATATTACTATACTGCTCTACTTTCCTTTCTACTCCTCCTGCTTGTCATGAAATATGTGCTATCAAATCTTTCCACTACCTGTCATACTTACAGACTGTTATATAGAGCCTGTGTGTAAATGTTTCTGTTTGAAATAAAAACCTTGGAAACTGGTACAAAAGAAGAATTAACAGTGTTTGGGATATGGCTTAAACATTAATTAACATCCACCTGCTGACAGGAACTTGATATGTGGTTTTCAAACACACACATGAAAAAAGAGAGTAAGGAATAGAGATCATGCCTGTAAGATTTCTGTAAAATGTAAACAAGGACAGGTTGATCTAGCTAACTGTGGGAATTAACAGCAGTAAGGTACTGAGTTAGGTTATGTGATAAAAAGATACACACATACAAAGGAGCAGGAGACAATAGCAGGAACCTGCATAACACCTAGACCCATCTACTCACAGTAGAAAAATCAACCCATGAAAGGATCATCTCCACAAGCCCAGAAATGCTCAACAGCAAATTAAGTACTCGGACAAATGGACACCCTGTCCAGGCTCTTCCCAAGAAAGCCATCACCCCCAGTGTCCAGGTACGAAGCCCATCAGGACGAGGCAATAGGAATGTCTCTCCTCAGTACTTTCTGGCTTGACGGGAGTTACTGTCAAGAAGGACAGGACATGCAGAGGATGCAGGGCTAGAGTCTTCTGGGATTGTAAAAGGCTCATTATGGGAACATTAGGATAGAAACCAAAGGTATGGTGTGGAGATGTGGCAGCCTCACTTTCTTCCATTGGGCCCTGTTAACTTATGCCTGTTTTCCTGGGTGAAGGACTTTCTATTCTGTGTGTCCATATAGAGGACTTTGAATGCCAGCAACTGGAGTGGGACCATAGATCAGAAAGCCTCTGTGTATCTGGGATGCCAGCAACTGCAGACTGGAGCCAGGTCAAATCAAGTGCCCGTAAGCAACCAAAGAAAGTGAGGCTATGTAAGTGACTGCACAACTGCTAGCAATTATCAACTCAGACCAAGTGAAGTGCCCTCGGAGCCAAGGGTGTCTGCATCTTGCTCATGCAAGATAGATCAAAGGAGCTGGCAGTGAGCAGAGGGACCAGTGAAGACCTGGCCAACTGCCAGAGATAATATGGAGCCCTGTTTGCGTGACTGCATGTCTCTAAGGGCAAGAAAAGGGGATTTGGGTACTGGAGGGACCAACTAGGTTGTGACCACATGCCAGAAAGACAGTGTGCACACAGGTGTGTGTCTGCAGGGTGAGGCACAGGGAAAGATAGAAGAGTGCAGACCTAGCTACTGGGTGGACTGTATATTCTAGGCCAGCTACTGTGGGGGGGAGTAGACAATGTGTGCATGTGGGGAGAAACATATTTGTGAAAAGGTCTGTACCAGGAAATGGAGTGGGGCTGGGGCATATGTGCAGACACCAGCAACTAGGGAGATTCAGCTACTAGCTTTAAGCCTAGCTACTAGAGGGATCCACATTGTACATTTAGGTATCTATATGCAGACCTTCATTCTGACTAGCAAGAGAGGGAAATGGGACGGGATTTTTGGTGCTTTTTTTACAAGCGCTGAACGTGTCTGTAGGTGTTGATCTGTGTAGCAACCTGTATACAGGTATGGCATATGTGTGTTTGCAGATGTGCCTACTGGCAATACCTTCTCAGTCTTGCCACCTGTTGGACCTGCACGCAGGGAGCTGCCAGGCTATGAGACACAACTCCCTTTCACCATTAAAAGAAAGGCAAAAATTAAACACCATCATGTAACGAATTTTAAGTATGATGATACTTTCCATACTGTTAATACATTCACATTTGCTTCAGGGCATTTTTTTGTTTTGTTTTAATGAAACTTTTCTTCCAGACTGAAGATAATACCAAAACCAGCCAAATATGGTTTTGGCTGATATGCATGAAGAAGACAAGATTGATAATACAGTCCATTTTTATAATGATGAAAGTCAAAACCTTAATGCCTATAAAACTGGAGTATTTTAACATATTGTAAGAGTAACGCTCACACTGGAAAAGACAAGCTAATTGTTTCTTTTTAAGACAGTGTGTATTAGTATAAGTAGTGAAATAACATGAAAAATAAACACACCTATTTATAATTTTACGTACCTGTAAACCGCTTGTACTTAATACATCCTGATGTTTCAGAAGTAACTGGCTGTCCTAACAAAGACTGCAACTTTTCCTGAAAAGTCTGCATTGGTGATAAGCTTAAAGGCAGGTGACACTCAGCGTTTTTCAGTCTGAAAGTATAAGAAACTCCTCATTAATACAAAATTAAACCCACAGATAACCTAATGAAGGTCTCTTAAATCAGCATCTAAGACAAAAATAACTAATCTTAACATGTTAGGTCCTACATCTATTTGAGTCCGGGAATATGAATTTTTGAGGCAAAGGACAGCCTTGTTACAATAAACTAACAATAAACACAAATAACAATAATAAAAACATATAGTATACTAAATTCCAAGCACAAATTTACCTTGAGAATTCATCAGAGTTCTGACAATACAGCTGGTAGGCCACTCCAACTGAAACAGACAGTTTCCAGTCCCCAAGTCTGTGTGTTAACCACACAGCCTCCGGAATAAGTCCACCAATAAAGAACAAATCGAGAGCATATTCTGCTGTCCACACTGATGAAAGTTTCTGTTCCCTGACAGCTCTGGTAACCAAACAGTGTTGCAGTGGAATAATACGAGGAGATACGTCTGTGACAGAAAAATCACATTTTAAAGATTAAATACATGTGCACGCTATCAGATGAACAACCTAGAATTCCTATGTTCATACTGCTTTTGTATTCATTGCAGTGCACATCTACTCTTTATTAGAGGCATACACTAAAAGGTTTATCTGCAGCAGGGAGATGCAACTCATGCTATGGTACAACAGTGAGGTCAGAGCAGGCTGCTTAATAATGTCTGGAGGACTACACAGATGGCATGAGGTTATGCATGGAGAAAATCAGAAAGGCGAAAGCCCAACTAGAAATTAATCTGGCTACTGCCATAAAAGTCAATAAAAAATGTTTCTATAAATGAGGGTGAAGGACAATCTACATCCTTTACTTGATGCAGGGGAGAACAGTAACAAACACTGAGGTACTTAAAGCTTTCTTTGCCTCAGTCTTTAACAGTAAGACCAATTGTTCTCAGGTTACCCAGCCACCTGAGCTGGGAGACAGGAATGGGGACCAGAATTAAGTCTCCATAATCCAAAGGAAACAGCTAGAGACCTGCTCCACCACTTAGGCACACGAAAGTCTATGGAGCTGGACTGGATCCAAAGAGGGTACTGAGACAGCTGGTGGAATTGTTCAGTGAGCCACTTTCCACCATGTATCTGCAGTCCTGGCTAACTGGGGAGGTCCCAACTGACTGATGGTTAACAAATATGACACCCATCTACAAAGACGGGATGGAAGGAGGATCTAGGGAACTACAGGGTTGTCCCTTTCACCTTGGTGCCAGGGAAGGTTATGGAACACATCTTGAGTGCTATCAAATGGCATGTACAAGACAAGCAGGTGATCCGAGCATGTCCTGCTCGACTAAGCTCATCTCCTTCTAGGACAAGGTGAACCACTTAGTGGATAAGAGAAAGGCTGTGGATGTTGTGTACCCAGACTTCAGTAAAGCCTTTGACAGTGCTTCCCACAGCACGTTCTTAGAGAAACTGGCTGCTCATGGCTTGGATGGGTGTATGGTTTGCTAGCTAAAAAACTGGCTGGAAGGCCAAAACCGAAGAGTGGTGGTAAATGAAGTCAGTGGCTGGTCACAGCTGGTGTTCCCCAGGGCTCAGTACCGGGGCCAGTTCTGTTTACTATCTTTATCACTGACCTGGACACGGTTTAGTGGAGAACTTGTCAGTGTCAGGTTAACATTCGGGCTTGATGTTCTTAAAGGTTTTTTCCAACCTAAATGGTTCTATGATTCCATTGTATGGATGACATAATAGTTTGATGTTTGCAATTGAATTAAAACCAAAAATATTTTCAATAATCGAGAGCTGGAAAACATCAACACCACACACAGACACACACACACACTCCCCTCACCAAAAATTTACAATTAATGGTGCTGAAATAAATCACCAAAGTAAAACATAACAGACAGCATTGATATACATGAAAAAAAAAAGAAAAAGAGCTAAGCGCAGCAAATTACACTGCTTTTAGAGAAAATACCTTGCTTGATGTGAAGTGGGTGCAGGATGTCTACGTTGTGGGGGGGAAAGATATAGAGCAGCTGATTTGTGAAATAAGCAGCCATGAATCGTGCCATGGACCGAATCACAGCCATAGCAGTTTCAGTATGAATATCTGTTACCATCCATAGCTCATGCTGAAAATACTTGGTATCTAAAAATCCAGATATCAAATTAAAACATTATGGAAATTATTTTAATTTTGAATCCTGAAATTGCTTAATTAGATTATAAAACATTTTTTTAAACCACGCAAACTATGATATTACTGAGCTTCTTGACAAGCTTTCAGGACTTAAAGAACTAAGTACACATTATATTAAAAGACTTTTATACTAGGTTGTTAATGACTATAGAGCTGGGCTTCTAGTACCTAAATTTAGATCACTGCTGAGTCGAAAAAATTTCAATTTGGAAATACAGATATCATTCTCTGGCTTAACAGAAAAAAAAAAAAGACACAAGCATCTGCAAAAAAAAAATAATCAACCATCAATTTACGACTGGTGACCAATCATATTGTATCATTAAAAAAAAAAACCTTAATATAAAATTAAATCAGATCATTTCACTCTTATTTTTCTTATTCGAAGTCTTTACTTGAGCAGATTTAAATCTAAGAACACTTAATGGGCCATGGTTCCATTATTAGTTATACAAGTAAAAGTTGTCTAAACATTCCAACTAGGGCAGCTGAAAGAACATCTGAGGATCAGGAGGATCTTCTTCTGAGCATCAGAAAAACACGTTTAAAGTCACTGAAAACAGACTTCAGTCCAGTGTAAAGAGAAAAACACGCTGCCTAGTGTGGCTGTGATGGCCCAGAAATTAGATACTACGTTATTCAAACAGTATCAATATACGTTATCACACTTCTATGCAATATAAACATACCAGAAAATTTTTCCATTTGACTCACTGTCAGCTGTGATCGCCTTAGGATCTCCCCTACTAGGTGATCACAGAGTCCCTGAGCCTCACACAAGTTATACTGATATAGGTGGCAAAATAATATTGCAAGATAATATCTACTCTGAAGAAAACATGTTCTTTTTCCCCCTGCATTAAACAAGAAAAAAAAAAAATTAGTCACAAAAACAGATATAAGTTTGAAAATCCAAGTTCCTCCCTCTCCAGAAACAAATCTATATAAATACATACTCTGAGAAGCAGAAATCAGCACCAGCTATTTTCGGAGATAGGATCCTCCTACAGCCTCTAAGGTACTAGGGAGTTAATGCTCATGCACAAGTTTTATTTCTAGGTATTTGGCAGTTTTCAAACAATACAGTCTATAACTGTTCCAGGAGAGCTCAGGAGCCTAGTCTTCAAAGAAGGAATGCCTAAGCCACAATGAAATTGCTTAGACATCCACCATGCTTCCAGTATCTTGAATTCTGCATGAGGTACTCCTCATTATAATAACCAGCAAGAAGTGTTTCTCATGATGTATGGGAAGACACTCTAGATATCTGTTTCGAATTACCTCCTAAATAAACTCTGCTACAAATTACTTTGTTTCTCCCCAGACACTAAGATCTACGATTTTACAGCTCCTAAGGGAATTGATTTTTATCATCTGCTTTTCTCTCTTTCTTGCTCAGAAGTGTATCTAGATGTTTTCTGTACCATGTACTTCATAATCACAAGAAATCTGATAATAAAATAGAAATGCATGGAATTTTCCCAGGGAACAATCACACCTACGTTTTGCCTGGTCTCTATTTAAATCCCAACTTAATTTCAAACGTGTCATTTATGTGACTTGACCCTTTTTTGTGAAGGGCAGAGAGCCATAAATAACTACATAAGGTGATTATACAACTTAACCCCTCCACCTTCAAAAAAGAATTTACCTCTTACCTTTTCCCTTGATTTCACATAGAGACCTTTTCCAAATGTCCAGAGATTCTCTGTATGAACCTAAAAGGAACTTCTCCTCACCTATAAAAGTCATATATGTAACAAATTAAAAGCTCTACATAGTTAGTTTTACATGTGCAAACACATATTTTTGAAAAGCACAGTCAAATACATGAGTCTCCAGCAATTTCTGTTCTCAGCGCTAAATCTAAGTGTTGAGCATCTAAATGAAGCTGCCTTTGAATACCCCTCCCCACCTTTTATTTAATTGCTAAATCACTACCAAAAAAAAAAAAAAAATAAAAATCAGGTTATAATCACACCTACAGGGCTTGCAGTAATTCAGTTCCCATTTTATTTTATTTTTTTAAGATTAAACAAGGTTATAAACATTAACTATACTTACAAACTTCAGCATTCAAAACTTGCAATAGTTTATTAATAGGGAAAAGTATTTTCTCTTACGCTTTCATATTTGCTGTAATGTGGAAGATGTTTTTTCATTATAAAAATTAGTTATAAAATTATTTCCCAAGTTGAATACATGTACTCTTTTTCAGTGTAAAAGCACTTTCAAACAACAGGTCTTAGGACTGTTACACATTCTATTTCTCTAAATGTCATCTCTCCGCCTCTATGCTCATTCCAATTTTTAATACATTGGTTAATTCCTAAATAGTTTGAGGGAAAGGTAACTGTAAAAAAGCAGAGTTCCTGGGCAAAGAAGGACAAGAAGAAAAAAACAACCCAACAACCAAACCAAACCAGACAGCACTAGTGCAGAAGAAAAGCCAAGGACAAATTTGCCACTCTATCCTGCTTATCAGCAGCTAGCCAGTGCAGGTATTGGCTAGCACACCAGCAAACGTGTTACTCTAACTCATCTATAAACCATACTGTATCTATTTGGCAAACTGAATGTAAACAAAGAACATAAGGAATGGGTAGAAAGCTCCATGTATTGCTAGGATGAATGAAAGAGACACAAAGGAGCTAATGTACAGAGCGATGTAGAAATAGAAGCTAGAAGTAACATTTAACAGAGAGAAATCAAGAATATGGAGACGAAACAGATGGGCGAGGTAAATAGGAGCAAGGCTTATTAGTGTGGAAGGAGAAAGCAAGACGGAGCACAGAACAGTTAAGTGTAGGAAATTAGGCTACAGCCATAAACCATCTGCAAAATAAATATACTGTATTTAACCTAGGACACTGTTATGCTAAATTAGATGCTTAGTTGAGAATGACTACATTCACATACACGACATGCTCATGCCAGTGGTGATCACATGAGGTGAACAGGACTTCTGCACAGAAATTCAGTAAGAGACACATTGTGATGCCCATCTAGTGGTTACTGACTGTCCTTAAGTTTGACCTAATTTTCCTATTATTCAGTTAACCATGCAACAACCTAGTATCTGTAGTTCTTTCCAAAGTACTAACCAGCTACAGAATTGATCTTCACATGTTGTTCTAAGGTGACTCCTGAAGCCTGGAGGGTCGCTTGTATATGACTTAAAAGTGATGAGGCAACAGACTCTTCTTCTACATTCTTGTTTACTTTTCTCTTCAGCTGGACCTGATACCAAACCACTTTCTTATACAATAATCGCCATAGTACAAGCAACCTGTAGTTGAAGAAATAAAATATTATGGAAATCATCAGAAGTTAACAGTTACTTACGTAATTTTTTTTATTATGTTTTGCATTCTGTATCTCAAAACTAGATTTTATTTTATGCTAGCAACAACTTTCTTGACTTCAGTGAGGGGGAAAAAACAAAACAGTTTCTGCCCTGGCTTCTGTTTTTTAACTAACAAACACCAATTCTCCTGAATTTGCATAAAAGCAGCAATCTATGTCAAGCACTGAAAACCCCAAAATTAACGGCTTGCTATCTAAAATATGGGGAAATTAAATAACCTAGACAAACCTCAAAACACGTATCAGTGTCTTTATAAACAAGACTGATTGAAAATACAATGAAAGCATAACACAGAAAAGTAAAGACAGGGAAAAAAAAACCCTGCAGAGCGTGGTTTTAGGGCTGGCAAGTCTGTGACGCCCAGCACTATGCTATTAAATGTACCAGCTATTCACTCTATTCACCACCACTCTTTGGGCTCAGCCACACAGCTGGTTTTTTACCCAGCAAACCATACACCCATCCAAGCCATGAACAGCCAGTTTCTCCAAGAGAATGCTGTGCGAAACGTTGCCAGAGGCTTTACTGAAGTCTGGGTACACAACATCCATAGCCTTTCCCTCATCCACTAAGTGGTCCACCTTCCCACAGAAGGTGGTGAGGTTAGTCAAGCAGGATGTGCCTTTTATAAAGCCATACTGCCTGGGCCAGATCACCTGCCTGTCCTGTGCAGTTTTTTCCCACCACAAAGATCATTCATACCTTTTTTCTGTTTTAGCATCATGGTTTACTGCTCGAGGAGGCTCTCTAAGCAGAGATTTCAGTGAGCTGAATTGCTGAGTAGTACTCTCATTCAGAACTAGGAAAACAGGCACAGTGAGGGAGTCAAGTTCTACGAGACTATTACCACGAGGAGATGAAAAAAAATTCTCATACTGCAGTTTGCACACATTACTTAAAGTGTGAGAAACCATTTTCAAAAGACAGAAACATGTCAAGAGGTTTTTTGAGAACAATTGATCTTGTTGCTGTATAAGCATTAGTTTTAAAGTTTGTAGTGTCAGCTTTGCCACATGCCCAGTTGGACTGGCTCTTGAATGCCAGTACAAGATAGTTAAAAACTGCTGAAAATATTTCAGGACACAACTTATCCAGGGAGTATTCTCTGCAGACTTGTTTAAAGATGTATCCTGGTTTAGCAGAGAGCATTTCACAAACTGAAGAATGTTGAAAAAATGGATAATGCAATTCACTATGTAATTCAGCAACTTATCTTTCTCTTCCATATTTTTGGAAATCCCTATCTGCCATGCAGCAATGAGGTTTTTCTGAATGGAACATAGTTCCACCGATAACTTATCCTCCTCTTCCATATTGTCTTTTGCATGGACAGTATCAAACATTGATGCAAATTCTAAGTGGCCTTGATCAGCTTTACTAACAAATGAATGGATTCTTTGGCTATAGAAGCTGGAAGGGCTATTGCAGAACTGCTTTTCATCATCTGATTCTTCTTCAAGATCCTAAATCAGACAAGGAAAAAAAAAAAAAATCAACAGCTTAATTCAAGTCTATTCAGAGAAAGCACAGTCTGAGAGCATCACCACTAGTCAAACTCACAAACATAATCTTTATTCTTAATTAACTTGCTTAATTGCTAACAAGTTTTACTCACAGCAGTTTCATCTAGATCTCAAACTGAATGTAGCTATTGGAATAGCTGTGCAGACAGAAATTAAATTACCTAACAACAACAAAATTACAAACAGCACTAGTTTTTATACCAGGAAGTGAAACCCTGCCCTTTATTAAGCCCAAAGCATGAGGAAGAGTTTTTGCTAGATACCTGTAAGATACAAAATCCATTTAACAAAACCTCAAAAATGTCAATGAACAAATCAAAAACCAAAAGCAAGAAATGTAGTGGGAAAGGCTGCACAGTGACTCTAATCACAGAAGCCAGACAGGCTGAGAAAGTTGGGGCTGTTCAGTCTGCAAAAGAGAAGGCTACTTGTAGACCTCATAGCAGCCTTCCAGTATCTGAAGGGGGCCTACAACAATGCTGGGGAGGGACTCTTCATTAGGGACTCTAGTGGTAGGACAAGAGGTAATGGCTTCAGACTTAAACAAGGGAAGTTCAGGTTAGATACAAGGAAGAAGTTCTTTACAGTGAGGGTGGTGAGGCACTGGAATGGGTTGCCCAAGGAAATGGTAAATGTTCCATCCCTGGCAGTGTTCAAGGCCAGGTTGGACAGAGCCTTGGGTGACAGGGTCTAGTGTGAGGTGTCCCTGCCCATGGCAGGGGAGTTGGAATTAGATGATCTTAAGGTCCTTTCCAAACTTAACCACTCTTTGATTCTATGAAATTTTGGAAGAATCCTCTAAAAAATGAGGATATCTTATTTACTAAGGATAATATTGTAGTTATTATTATACTTTAGATCCCCAGTATATTTAGTAGTGTAATGTTACATTTTATTAGGAAGTTAAAGTAACACATTAATGAAGTTAAATGAAACAATAAACTGATTTACATGTAAATCAGTACACATTTTCCAGAAAGTTAACACACTGCTAAGAGAAATGATGTTTGAAAAGAAAAAAAAAAAATCAAGTATCAGTTGAGAAAAATAACCACATTCTTTCAAAAAGAATGAGAATTTAACCAATACTGAATTAGTTCAAATATACCTAGTAAGAGAAAATATACTTACATGTGGGAAAAAAAATAAATATTCTTTTACATTTAGAATAATTTAAAATCAAGTCATCTGCATTATTTTAAGTGGAAAAATGCTATTAAGTACCAGTAAATCCATGGTTTTCTCACTAATTTCTGTTGTGTCCTCTTCCAGGAACTTTGGAATGGTGGAAAAGACGGAACTTCGGTTCTGAGCATGTTTTAAAAGACTAGCTTTTAAAGACAACAGTGATCGTAAACACAGAGGTCTCCTTTTAGACTAAAAGAAATAACAACAACACAAAACATGTCATCTGTCTCTAGCAAGATCAAACCAGATACTTCCTAAACAAAACAAGGAAAGTGGTCTTTTCTGCAAAAAGCTTCAGTTTAAAAGTCCCAGACAGAAAGGGAGAACAGATCAGGCTTATGTTGCACAGGAACAATCATTTGACCATGCTTCAGGAATGCAGAATTTTCTCAGCACCAGACGCTTTACTCTGCTTGATGAGGAAAGAATCTGCTTTCTTGATCACTGAAATGATCTTACAATTTTGCCAGTACGTAGGGCTTTCTTGCGTTCTTACTAGTAACATATCTTTTTGAGTTGTCAAATCTTTACCCGCTTTTCTAGCTTATGAATGAATACCATCATAACTCACTTCTCCAAAAATCCAAAGTACAAATTGAGTAGGAATAGAAGTTGTATTCCATCAGCAAATGAAAAAATTCTGAACTTAATATCTACTACATCTTACAGGATATAATAGATACTATTATATCTATATAATATATATATTTATCTCTATATATCTATATATCTATATTTTATAAATATATAATATATATAACAGTTGCAGGACCTCTTTTTTCAAAGGTTTCCCTTCTCCCAAAATTAGATCAACTTAGAAATGACAGAAAAATAAAAACCAAATGCTTTAAGCAAGCTTTAATTGACAACTTCAACTGAGGACCTAGTGGACACACGCACAGAGCACCACTGCGACTGTTGCTGGCTGCTCTAAAACAGCAGCAGCCTAAGGTAAGAGAAGTTTTATAGAATCCTTTCTGCATATTCTGAATGGGTAAGTTAGTCGGAGTAGCAAAATACCTGTCAGTGCTCTGAACCAACTCTATAGATACAGAAACACCAATTTCTTTTACAGTTACAGCAAGAATAGTGACTACATTTTACTTAAACGTCATGCAGACATGACATTTAAGTAAAATGAATGTGTATAAATACCACAGTAAACTTAATTGAGGTATTCAGTTTAAAAAAATCATCCGTTTTTATAGACAAATTTTTTTTTTTTTTTACATAAAACCTGCAGAATAATTCATAATCCTACCTTGGAGTTCAGCAAATTCCGACGGATACTTTCAAGCCGTTGGGTTGAATCGAGCAAAAGAGTTCTTATGAATCCTGATGGTGAAAGGTTGTTAGGAAATCTAAGCACTGTTATCATGTATCCATCGGAGACAACGAGGTAGGGTAATCTTGAATGTGAAGCAACCGAAAATCTCTGTCTCATAAGGTCACTTTCAGAAGCTGAAGAACCAAGAGACTGACTCGAGTCTTGATAAAAAGAGTGCTGCTGTCTAAAATAAAGATATATCAACATTTAAGCAGCTATCATATGTAACAGTCACGAACAGATTAGAGAAAAAATAACATATGAATGTTTAATACCACTCACATTACTGTCCCTACAGGTCCATTCAGAATTCCAAGGAAACATCTAAGTTTTTTAGGATGAGCACTGTGGATAACACTATTTATGCTTGCAAGACGCCATTATTTTGCTGCAGTTGCAACTTTTTTAATTTAAAGAAAAATAAAAATGGGTCTCACTATTCTCTACTTCATTAACAAGCATTATACGCATTTTTCACTATTTGACTTCAAGTTCCTATATCACACAGTATCTACAACAAGTGCTTGAAGATGCAATTTTAATCAGATGCTAAAAGTCATGTATGAAAAAGAAAAAAAAAATCTATAAAGTTCTGAATCTCAGTATTTCCGAATCAGTTCAGACATTTCACAGAAAACATTTATATCCACACACAAGTCTTCTCTTACAAAAGAGGGCTTACGCAGTCTATTCTTACAAAGAAATCACCTCTTATTGAGATCCAGAAAGCTGTGTTGTGCAGGTAGTCCCCTAACACTTTGAAATAATGTGTAAAATTACTGTTGCTGGGTTTGGGGTTTTTTCATTATTTCTTAATATTCCAAAGGTTAGTAGATTATGTGAAAAAGGTTGCTGCGTACATTCAAAAAATAACAGTAATTAAGGTATTTTAATGTATTTTAGTACCTGATTTTTCAACCAGACAGTGTGAGAAGGTATTATTCTGCTTTGAATGTTTTCCTCAGATGTTAACATTTATATAGTACCCAGCTTTAGGCACTCAGAACTAACAGGATTTAAATAAAAAAAATTAAAAAAATGAAAAGTTTGGATTTTTTTTGTTTCCTTTAGTTATTCAAACTATTTTACTTTTTGTAACTTTGAAGTTATGCTAGAAAGTGTTAAAGAGCCTTCTACTTCCCCATGCATCCAGCAGCATAATTTCAAAAATTATATCTGGAGTACCCCCTCCAAAAACACTAAAAAAGCTACCTAGTTTTTGTCATACAAATGAGATACAGAGTTCTGTAAGCAAAATCAAATAGTGAGCAGAGAAATGCCACTGGATTAAAATAAATCCGCACTTTCAGTACTTTTGTAAATTCAGTTTCTTCCTATATCATAAATTCATGCCATTTTTAGTTACTACTAAATTCAAACACTTCAAAAAATGAATCAGTTCATGTATACTTAGTGTCATAATGCCAAGTTTCATCACAAGAAACTCATTATAAGAAATAGAAAACAACTATGAATGAGAACAGATACTGAGAAGACATATGAAAAGCAGAAGAATGAATCTGAGATACAAAGTTTGTGTGAAATTGTAAAAAATACTACGAAGTAAGATACGATCATATGACAAAAATGTATAAACAGTTTCAAACCCTTTTACCTGCATGTTATTAGTGGATGAAATGGAATAAACTCTGCTGGTCCAAATTCTACAGAGCAGCCAGAAGTAATCAAGGTCAGCATTTCACCCATGCACGTCAATATAATCAAAGATCCACGTTTTAACATGCAAGCCAAGAAAAGGCTATCGTGAGTCCAACTCATATCACCAACCCAGTAAGACCTAAATTGGGCGAGAAAAAAGTACTTTTCTCTGTCAAATTTCCGTATCAAAAGGTTAGGTTAAAAAAAAAAAAATAAATTCCACAACAGCAGCAAAACCAACATCAGTTACTGACCTGATAAACTTGGATGGAATCGTGCTATTCTTGCTACTACAACCTTTAAGGCTACCCGAAACAGTTACAAAATTCAATGTGTTTAAAAACAAAATCTGAGTTGCCTAGAAAGAAAAAGTAAATGTAAAGAAAATGTAAATGTTTGTATCAAACTGTCATTGTTGTAAAAAAATATTTCTACTAGCAGCACATTTGATGTACTGGAAACATCATTATATATGAAAGTGACATGACGCTTTGGTATTTCTTACTATTTAGAGTATTTATTAATTTCTATACCTATTTCTACATTTAATATATACTTAACATAAAAATTAATATTCTTTTTATCATAACTTTTTCTGAAACACTCAAAACAATGTAAGATCACTCTTTTCCAGTCTTGCTGATGAATAAAAACTGAAGCTTTGAAAGGACTGCATCATCCCATCCTAGTACACTAAGTAAGATGGCCCATATTCCCTGTTACCATTAGCACTAAAAACAACATTAAAATTTGGCATCCAAGATGTTAGAATCGTAGAATCATAGAATAGTTATGGTCAGAAAGGACCTTAAGATCACCTAGTTCCAACCCCCCTGCCATGAGCAGGGACACCTCACACTAAACTATGTCGCCCAAGGCTCTGTCCAACCTGGCCTTGAACACTGCCAAGGATGGAGCATTTACCATTTCCTTGGGCAACCCATTCCAGTGCCTCACCACCCTCACTGTAAAGAACTTCTGCCTTATATCTAATCTAAACTTGCCCTGTTTAAACTCATTACCCCTTGTCCTACCACTACAGCCCTTAACGAAGAGTCCCTCCCCAACATCGTTGTAGGCCCGCTTCAGATACTCAAAGGATG